GTAGTTCTCTTCATCTTTTTTCCTATTCTCTACTGCATTGCACTAAGCCTTTTTCAGTTTCTTGTGTTGTGTCCATTTTCTTCTTTCCTGGTTTAGATTTTTTTCCTTTTGCTCTAGTGGACGTTGGTCTCAGACATACAATGGGCAGGTAGGAATCAACCTGGTGAGTTTGCAGTTTTTATGGCAGGAATCTTACCTAAAAGACCTTTCTTTGCAATGGCACTGTTGGCCCTGTGAATCACCAGTGCTGAAATAGAAGGAAGTCCTTTGTGCTGACAGCTACAGCTAATGGATTGGGAGAGTAATCTGTGCCATATTCCCTAGCATTGAATGGGGGACACTGGGGCATTACTGTGCTACCTATGAGGGAGTCTCATAGGACAGGTTTTCCTTCATGCTACTGTTGAAGATCAGACAGGAGTATTATTCTCACAGTGTGGTCCCTTGGAAAAAGATTTTGATGTGTTGAGATACCAGTTCTCAAGTGTTACACCTCGTGGAAAAGACTGATAAAGCAACTTCATATTGTCAAACATAGAAGCTGATCCTCTGAGGTGAAGTGCTCTAAGCATAAATTTTGTGAATTGGTGTCTCATGTTCTTTGACAAGACACCCTGGGCTTGGGTTGGGTATGCAGAGGAGAAAAGCTTCATTGATGATTCTGTTATAGAAAATAACCTCAGTGAAAAATGCGGTCATGGGGATTATCACTAGGTTAGTAGGAATATTCCATGTCAACGCAATTTGAAAATAGAGCATATAGGGGCTTCTTAATTCAACAAATATTTATGGAGTGCTTATCAAATGCCCCAGTTCTGGTATGATAAAGAACCTTTTGTATTACCTCCATGCCACTCTGATTCCATTATCAGGCAGCCCTCCATATCCCAGGGTACACTCGAAACAAAACTATTTTTTAAAAAATAGCATTTGTACTCAGTAGATATAGGGTTTTTTGTCATTCTTCCCTAGACAATATAGTATAACAACATTTGACATAAAATTTACATTGTATTATTAAAAGTAATTTGAGGTGATGTGAAGTATACAGGAGGATGTGTATAAGTTTTAGGCAAACATTGTACTTGAGCATCTGTGGACCAGGGGATCCTGGAACCCCTGAGGAAACTGAAAGATGAGACTACAGGTTTTATATTTTACAAAAATACAAATTTGTAACTGATTTGTTCTCAGCATTTTCTTCCTTGTGCTTCTGAGTTTCCTAGGAGTGGAAACTGGTTCTGATTACCCTTTGGACTCCCCACACCGAGTAGTTGTTCAGGGCTTGAGAGTGAGTTGTTGACTTGTCCTGCTTGAAAGACATTGTAATCTATACTCTTAATGAAATTGGCACTGGGAAAAGCTTTATTCACTTATGATGTGTTCTTATACAGTACCAGTGATTATTTCACAGATCATGTGTTTCCATGGCTTGGAAGGTCCAAATACACCATAAGCTCCAAATTCTCTTATATCAGCATTGTGGTCAACTATGTATGTGTAGTGTTTTGGGCCCATTTTGTAGTTAAAATTGTGTATTTATTTTGTGTTAAATCAGCTCATTCTTTTTTTTTTTTTCTTTTTATTGGTGCATTGTAATTATACATAATAAACCAGGCATGGTGGTGCTTGCCTGTAAGTGACTCAGGAAGCTAAAGCGGCAGGATCACAAGTTTGAGTATAGCAGGGGCAGCTTAGTGAGGCCTTCAGCTATTTAGTAAGACCCTGTCTTTAAAGAAAAAAAAAAGAAGAAGAAAAAGGGGCTGGGGATGTAGTTCAATAGTAAAACACCCTGGGTTCAAATTCCAGTACCCACTCCCCAAAATTATTTATAATGGTGGGATTCATTAGATTCTTTTTCATTGTGCCACGTTCATACATGTACATAATAACATAGTTTGATTAAGCTCATTCCCCAATACTTTTCCTTTTCCTCTCTTTCCTCCCCCTCATTTTTAAATTTATTTTTTATTGACATTTTTATTCACATACCATAAAATTCATCATTTTAAAGTGTACATTTTGGGAGTTTTAAGATATTCACAAGGTTGTACCACCATCACTACTATCCCTAATTCTAGCACAGTTTCATCACTCCAGGAAAGCCCTATAACCATTAGCAGTTACTCCCAGTTTCACCCTAACCATCTTCCCAGGTCTGGGCAACTCCTAATCTACTCTATGGACTTGACTTTTCTGAACATTTCACACTAATGGAACCATAAAATATGTGATCTTTTGTGTCTGCTGGCTTTCACTGAGCATATTTGCAAAGTTCATCTATGCACTGGTATTTCCGTACTTTTTGTATGTGAATGTGATTCCATTGCATGGATATATCACTTTTTATCTGTTCACCAGTTGATGGACATTTGAGTTGTTCTTCTTTTAACTATTATGAATAATGATGCTCTGAACACTTCTATAAAGCTTTTGGGAGGACATACATTTTCAGGTTTTTATTTTTTATTTTTATTTTTAGTTGTAATTGAACATAATATCTTTATGTATTTATGTTTATGTGGTGCTGAGGATCGAACCAAGGGCCTCGCCCATTTGAGGTGAACGCTCTACCGCTGAGCCACAACCCCAGCCCTCAATTTTGTTTTGTTTTGTTTTGTTTTTAATAGGAATGGATTTGCTGGATGCTGTGGTAACCACATTTAACATTCGTGAATCTGCCAAACTGTTTTCCATTGTGGCTTCGATATTTCACCTTCTCACCAGCAATGTACCAAGGCTCCCATTTCCCCACTTTCTTACCACCATTTGTCTTTTTTTATTATAACCATCCTAGTGGATGTGATGTGGTTTTATTTAGTCTGCAGTGTTTTATTTTTCTCATCACACTATAAAGGAGGCAAAAAATGGTGTATATTAATACAGGTGAACATCACTTTAAACATTCCTATTTGTATTTTAAAGCTTGGCCCCATCCCTACCCCCTCAAAAATGGTGGTGAATTTTCACTTTGCAAAAGGAGAATATACCTGAACTTTTTCACAGATTTGGATATATCCCCTCAGTGCCTCTTGCCATTGATTGCTTTTAGTTGTACAGTTAAAAATTTATTAGAGAACTTACTTGGTTTGTTTATGTTATACTTGGATTTACCTAGATTATGTTTACAGACAACATTTTAGCAACATGTTATGTAAAGCAGAGATGTATGTGTAATAAACTTGTGTAACCATGATTCTCACAAGGATGTAAATGTATCAAATATCTTTAGCAAATGTTGCTAGTATAAGGATAATCACTGATTTTGCGTCATAACTTTCTTGAATTAAGATAAATTTAGTATTATCTCTGTAAGTGGCAGTAGTCCATAATTTCAGATAAATATCTTGCAGTATTGGCCCTAGCTGGGAACTTGAAAGGCTCCCAAAGGCCATTTATTATATTAAAGGCTTGGTCCCAAGGGTGGTAATATTGGGAAGTGGTGGGACCTTTAAGTGAGGGGATCTAGTGGGAGTTCCTTAGAGCTCATTAGTGATGTACCTTTGAATGGATTAGTGGGACCCTGGCTCCTTGTGCTTCCTGGCAGTGAGTTGAGTGGTTTTGCTCCACGACACATTCCCGCCATGATGGGTCACTTTTCCACAGACCCAAAAGCAACAGGGAAACTTCCAACAGATTGAAACCTCCAAAACTGAGACAAAGCATAAGTTGATTATCTCAGGTATTCCATTTTAGGGATGGGAAACTAACACCAGTATTATGGATTCTGACAATGAGTCAGCATGAAGCAGCAGATTTTCTGAGTCATAGTTTTATCTTTTGAATGCTACAAGTTAGGTGAACATTGCCAAAGTGAACGTGTTTTCAGATAATTATAATTGGGCTAGAATTCTAAATTATGTCTGATTTTTGAAGTATTCTTATCTTCTGGATAATAATGTGTTGTCTCCTGGTTCTGTTGCTAAAATAGAGTAAGAAGTACCAGACAACCCTGGTCCTTCCTGAAAGGAGTCACTATGCTACATATTGCCACCCATGGAAGGGAAACTTTTCATCTACTTTGTGATATTAGGAAATAATGTTCTTTCACATCTTTTATCTTGATGTAACACTCGTGCTTTTATTTTGTTATCTTGCAGCTTTATCGATATGCTTCAGCTCAAGCAACAACCAGCAGAAATTCTCTTCTGATAGATGTAATTGCTGCTTATCAACGATTCTGTTCTCGACCTCCCAAAGGTAAAGCCCCTTAGGTATTCCTGTAATGTTCTACATTTGTTAAAGATGTGTCCTGAGCATGTAGTGACTCATTTCTGTCTTCTATACCTACTCCTTGACCTCTGACTCAGGTCTTATCATAGTCCTGAAAATGTGGCACCTTCAAATGTAGTGCTTTCATATGAAGAAATAGGCATGTAAGGAAACTTTTTTTCTTTAACATTTGTGGGTTGTTAAACTACATATTTAGACTTTGATGTACTTGTACACAAGAAATGTAATACTTTTAGCTTATCCTTTTTAATGATATGTGAACTGTTTTAAAAACAAATGAACATACACAGACCTGATGAATTTTAGTTTGAGCATGTGTATATTTTTACTTTTCTTATAGGATTTGAAAAATATTTTCCTAATGGAAAAAATGGGAAAAAAACTAGTGAACCTCAAGAAGTTACGGGAGAAAAAAAAGGTACCTTTTAAAAGATTATGTGTGAGTTTGGGGTTGGGGCTGTAGCTCAGTGACAGAGTGGTTACCTGGCATGTGTAAGGCAATGGGTTCTATCTGCACCACATAAAAATAAACAAAGGCATTCTGTTCATTTACAACTACAAAAAATTATGTGTGAGTTTTGTTTTTCGTAATAACTGATGGAAGTTGTTCCACTGAACAAAGATAGAGTTAATCAGTTGTGGAACTATAGGTTATGAGTACATAGAGAATTTTCAGGCCCTACATTTCATTTCACCTTAATTTTCTGTTTATACTTACCTGTCATTTTTCAAATTGAAGTAATTTAAGGTCCCTTAGGAGATACTGACTGATCAAATTAAGACTCTTTGGTAGATACAGATAGCTGACATAAAATTTAAACCATTGAGAAAAGCCTTAGAAAGCTAATACATGCAAGATATTGGACACATATTGTGGTACAGTGCAGTATTTTAAAAATTGTTCCTGAGCTTTAATTGAACCTATCTTATCTTGGGGAGTCAGAGAGGGTCTTTTAGGGCTGGTTGATAAAGAGGGACAGTACGGGCTCAGAGCCGCTCAGAGCCTCACATATACAGTATTACAATGCCTGGCATGTGCTGGCTTTCAGCTGGCTTCCTTTCTTTTTAGGGAAATGTAAAGAAAAATGTGTCAGCTCTTATAGGTTCTGTTGGTAGTGCTGGGGATTGAGCAGGGCCCCACAGAGGCTGAGTAAATCATTCAGCTGCATCCCCAGCCCAGCCCAGCCCAGCCCAGCCCAGCCTTTGTTTTTAAATGAACTTGCCATCTAGTTGAGAGACAGATATATGCTCAAAGAATACAAAGGAGTGAAAAGAAGGCCAGGGAACACAGGGAGTGAGGTGTGCTAATGTGGGTGATGGTGGCCAGGAGGCTGTGGGAGGGAGTATTGGTGTCATGGGCAGCTGCTACAGGGTTTTCCAAGGGTATGGCCAGTATTCTGGGTCTTGGTTTGGGAGTAAATGAATGATAGTAGGTATACTTTAAATACAACCTGTTGGGTACCTGTTGCCTAGATGTTACCTTGTCGAAGAGTAGTTTGGAATAGTCACCCAGCTGAGCAATGTGATGATTCTGTTTCCCAGTCCTATGCCTTGTTACAGGTGGGCCTGAGATCATACACCTCACACCTCTCTCTGCATGAAGCACAGGTGGTGAAACCACAGCTTCAGGTGGCCACTGAGGATGGCAGCACCTGTGGTCTCCCCTCCTGCTGACTGGAAGGGTTTGATGGTAGTTGAAGATATTAGTATGGTATTTGTAGGTCATCAACAAAATGAAGAGGAGCCCCCCCCCCCCAAAAAAAAAAGGTGTTACTGACTGTATCAGTTTGTTGTTAGGGGTGTCGTCATAAAGGATCACAGCCTTTGGCTTTGGCAACAGAAATGGATTGTCTCATTCTGCATGCTAGAAATCCAAAGTCAAGACATTGGCAAGTTGGTATCTTCTTCTGAGAGCTATATGCTCGTAGAGGACTATCTGCTTTCTGTGTCTTCACTTCGTCATCTCGGCATATGAGTGTCTGTGTGCAGATTTCCCCTGCTTATGATGATGCTAATGGATTAGGGCTCATCCTGATCCCTTCATTTTGACTTGATTACCTCTATAAAATCCCTGTTTTCAAATCAGGTCACGTTCTGAGGTACAAAGGGTCAGGACTCATTGTATAAATTGAGGCATGAGGTGGACACAGTTTATCCCATAACAGTGACAAATATCAGATTCTTGCACATGAATTACGTGTGGATGAGAGTGGTTTATTTTGTGTTGCTGAGCTATGCCCAGCCCAGGTGAGAATTACTAATGTCAGGCCTTCCCATAGAAGAAACTTGACAGTGTTTACTTTGTGGAACTGGGGAAGGGGAGCAATTACTTTTTAGCTTTGAAGGAGTACTCAGGAATTCACTTTCCTGAGTATAAATCCCACCTGTCACTCAGTATCACTTGACGAGGCAACAAGCTAATCAGTAAATCAGATTAGCTCCATCTTCTTCCTTAGAATGGGTGGTATAATAGTTGCATAGTTCTTGGATATTGGGAGTTGTGCATGTTTCACGAAATACTATTTGACACAGTGTATTTTGTTGTAGGTCCTTTATTACACGCATACAAAGAAACCTTGTTGACAGGTAGAGTGCCCTGTTTTGTTTATGACAGAATCAAAAACAGCTGCTACCCCACGCTCATCTGGAGGAGGAGGTGCTGGTGGAGGAAAACGCCGCGGCAAGAAAGATGATTCTCACTGGTGGTCCAGGTTCCAGAAGGTTTGGTTCTAAACTATGTGCAATTTTGAGGTTTTGATGTGGCCCCACAGTGGGTTGGGAAGAGCTTTGTCTTGCATGGCATAGATCATATTGTGGAATTTCATTCTTAGGGTGACTTTCCCTGGGACGACAAGGATTTCAGGATGTACTTTCTCTGGACTGCTCTGTTTTGGGGTGGAGTCATGTTTTACTTCCTGTTCAAGAGCTCTGGGAGAGAAATCACATGGAAGGACTTCGTCAATAACTATCTTTCTAAAGGAGTAGTAAGTATTTATGAATTTGCGGCCACCATGTTTCAAGAGGTGCAGTTCAGGAGAGAGCAAACAGTGATAAGTAGCAAGTTGGCTAGACCTGTCCGTCACAAAGTTCCTTTGTTCATGTTCATGTTGGTTTCTCTAATGACAAAAAGTGCGGCAGTCAGAAAACATGTTCATTATGATCCACAATCCCCAAACTTACCACAGCATCCTTTTGATGCACTTCATATTAAAAACTGGTGTGTTTGGAGGCACTGCTTCTATCCATGGTCCTGGCAGTCTCCCATCTGTTTCTGTCACTACTCACCTGCCTCTTCCTGCATGATGATGTGTGGCAGCCTCTCTCAGCTCTTTTATGTCTCCACTGCTTCTAATTAATCTCCAATGACTTGAAGCCAGTCAGAGCTATAAAGTAACAGAGAGGCTCCATGTGTGGGCTGGGTGGAGCATGTGAACTTTGGAGTCGCTAGTCTGCTGGGAATCCTGTGTATATGCCAAGTCTTTGACCAGGTAAGACCATGTCTCAGCACATTCACAATGCCTCCACTAATAAGGCATATGTTATTTTATGTATTATTAAGAAAAATTTAATAAGCTGCCAACAAAACTACATCATGCCATTGATTGTGAAATGGATCCCAACTTCTAAGAGGTTAAAAAATATGGAAAGTGTGCATCTTAACATTGATGAATGTCATGCTAATGGAGAACCAGGACTAGGCCTGCTGGGTAATCTGAGAGAAATTGGCCTTGCAGTGCTGGAGTTTTTATCAGTGAAATAGTAAAATAAACATGGTAATGCTTACTGAGGAAATGTGAAAAATAACTTAATTTCTAAAGGTTGTACAAGAGAGTGAGGATAGAACTGGTTAACAAACCCAGATATACACTATTATCAAGAGATCATTGTTCTGAACGAAACTTTCATGTGAGGCCAAGATACCTAGGTAAAAGATGAAAGTTCCAGTCGAGTCCAACAAAGGATGTAACTTACCTATAAAAGATGAAATACAGATGAAGGGGGCAAAACAGAAAAAGGAAAGCATTAGGCCAAACTTAGCTTCTTTTAATGCAAATTGAAAATAAGAAACCAGTTGGGTATAATTATTAATGAAAAAATAATACCCAACACTGACAGGGTACATGAAATAGGCAGTCATACAGAGAATTGGGCATTCTGTATAAAGTCTTAAAAATCCTTACATCCTCTGAACCACTTCAGTGGTTTATACATAAAGTGGTTTAATCATAAGATGGATTCACAGGGTTATTCATTCCAGTGTTTAGTTAAAGAAAACTATAAGGGGCTGGGGCTCGGGCTCGGGCTCAGCAGTAGCATACTTGCCTGGCATGTGTGAGGCACTGGGTTCAACTCTCAGCACCACATATAAATACATAAATAAAGGTCTATCAACAACTAAAAAAAATATTTTAAAAGAAAACAATAAAGAGGAAACAGGTAAATGTTCAATAAGAGGGAAATAGTCAAATAATAGTGCTGAGAAAGCCTGTTTCCTTTTCCTGTCTTGTTCAGAAGTCACAGAAGAATTCAATAGTGATGATTATAAATGCTGATTTGCTCTTGATCTTGAAGCTACCAACATTTACCTATGTGACAAATGTCTAGTCCTTGTAGATACCTTGTTTTTACTACATTGAAGAAGTATTTTGGGTCACTTTTAGAGTTGTTAGGAATGAGTATAAAATTTTTTTTCCCTTGTTTTGACCATCTAAGTATTTTTTTTTCTTATTTGATATATTAACTTGGTAGAGTAACAATTTGTTAATAATAAATCATGATTTTATTTATCTTTTTCATGCTTGTTATCTTTGTTTTTCTCAGTTCTTTTTTTCATTCTGGTAAAGTACATAAATCCTAATTTTACCATCTTTTTTTTTTTTTTTTTTTTTTTTTAAGTGTACGGATATTAAATACATCCATAAAGTGCAGCCATGACCAACATGGACCTCCAAAACTTCATTTTTGTAAACTGATTCCCATTGAATAGGAATACCACTCTCCCCCTTGTCATGGCCCCTGGCAACCACCAACCTACCTTTGTCTCTAGAATTCTGACTACTAGAAATACCTCATATAGATGGAATCATGAGGTATTTGTCTTTCTGTGTTTGGCTTATTTCTCTTAGTATAATGTCCTCAAGTTTCACGTTTGTCAGAATTTCCTTCCCTGTTAAAGCTGCACAATGTTCAATTATGTGTATGTGCCACATTTTGCTTTTCCATTTATGCATTGATGGGCACTGGGTTGCTTCCAAGTTTTAGCTGTTGTGAATGATGCTATGAACATAGGTATCCCAATATCTCTTTGAGACCCAGCTTTCAATTATTTAAGGTATGTGTAAAGGAGTGGAATTGCTGGATCAGGTGGTAATTCTGTTTAATTTTTTGAAGAACCACTCTACTGTTTCCATAGTGGCTGTACAATTTAACATTTCTCTTGATGGTACACAAGCTTTCCCATTTCTTCACATCCTCACCAGTGTTTGTTATTTGTTTTCCAGTAGTAGCTGTCCTAGTGGGTGTGAGGTAGTCTCTCACTGAAGTTCTAATTTGCGATACCCTAATGATTGATATTGAGCATCTTTTCATGTGCTTATGGCCATTCATGTATCTTTTTTTGTATGTCCATTCAAGTCCTTTACTCATTTTGAATCAGGTTAGTTTTTTCGGCGGACACAACATCTTTGTTTGTATGTGGTACTAAGGATCGAACCCAGGCCGCACGTATGCCAGGCAAGCGCGCTACCACTTGAGCCACATCCCCAGCCCCTTGATATTGTCTTTTGATGCACACACAAAAATAGGGCCTTGAGCATTCTAGGTAAGCACTCTACCACTCAGCCACATACCCAGTTCTTTTCATTTTTCATTTTGATATGGTCTCATGAAGTTGCTAAGGCTGATTTCAAACTTGCAGTTCTCCTGCTTCATCCTCCCAAGTCTTTGAGTTTACATGTATGTATTGCCTCACCGAGCAAGGCACAAAATTTTAAAATTTTCATGAAATCTAATTTTTCTATTCTTTAGTTTCTGGTACCTTTGGTGTCATATCCCAGAAGTCATGCCAAATCCAGTCTTATGAAGCTTCTGCCCTTCATTTTCTTCTAGCAGTTACATGGTTTTGGGTCTTAAAGTTAGGCCTTTTTTCCATTTTAAGTTGATTTTCATCTGAAACTTTATTCTTTTGTGTGTGCATATTCACGTTTCTTAGCACCATTTGTTGAGAAGATGGTCCTTTTCCCATTGAATGGTTTGACACCCCTTTGAAAATCATTTGTATATGAGAGAGTTTATTTCTGGGCTCTTGCATATTTTTCCCTCTTGAATCAAATCCAGGGCCAGCACCCTAGACAAATGTTCTACTATTGAGCTATTTCTTGTCTTTTTCATTCTATTCCATTGTCAGTTTTTAATGCTAGTACTTTACTATTTTGAGTGCTATAACTTTACAAGAGTGTACCACAGCACTCAGCTGTTATTCTTTTTCAAGATTGGTTTGGCTCTGCTTTGAAATACCATGTAAATTTTAGGGTGGGTCTTTCCATTGCTGGGGGAAAAGAAAATCAAGGGACTTTCATGGGGATTGCTTTAACTCTGAATTGCTTTTACTATTAACATTGTAACTGCATTAGTCTTTTAATTTGTGAATGTAGATGTGTTTGTATATATTTGTATCTTTAATTTCTTTCTAAATGTTTTTATCATTTCTTGTACAAGTCTTTCATCTGCTTAAGTTAATTCCTAAGTATTTTATTCTTTTTGGTGGTGTTGTAAGTGGAATTATTTTCTTAATTTCTTTTTCAGATTATCCATTGTTAGTGTATAGATATGCTTTTTATTTTTGCATGTTGACTTTGTATCCTGCTATTTTGCTGAGTTCATTTATTAATTCCAGATTTTTTGTGTGTGCTATCGTTGGGATTTTCTGTATGTGTAATCATGTCTTCTGCTAATAGATAATCTGGCACCTTCCTTTCTAATTTGGATGCCTTTTGTTTCTTTTTCTTACCTAGCTCTGACTAGAATTTCCAGTAGTGTTAAATAAACATGGTGAAAGTGGACATCTTGCCTGGTTCCTGATTTTAGAAGAAAAGCTTCCAGTCTTTCACCACACTGTGTGTTTTGATGTATAGCTTTTATTGTGTTGATGTAACCTCTTTCTAGTTTGTTGAGATTTTTATTATAAGCGGATGTTGAATTTGGTCAAATGCTTTCTCAGGCATTAACTGAGATGACCATGTGGTTTTTCCCCTTTACTCTGTCAATGTGGTGTATGATGCTGATTGATTTTTGTACATTGAACCATCCTTACCTTCTAGAAATATATCCCACTTAGACATGAAGTATGTTATATCCTTTTAATGTGCTGAATTTGGTTTGCTGATTTTTTGTTAGAGATTTTTGCATGTATGTTCATAATGTATATTGATTTATAGTTTTCTTTTTTGGTAGTGTCTTTGGCTTTAGTATCAGAGGAACACTGACTTCATAGAATGAGTTAAAAAGTATTATCTCTTCAGTGTTAAGAAGTACTGGAGGGGCTGGGGATGTGGCTCAAGTGGCAGCGTGCTCACCTAGCGTGCTTGAGGCACTGGGTTCAATTCTCAGCACCACATAAAATAAAATATTGTATCCACCTAAAACTAAAAAATAAATATTAAAAAAAAATACTGGAGGTAGTTTTTTTTTTTTTAAGTGTGGTAGATTTCACCAGTGAAGCTATGAGTTCCTGGGCTTTTCTTTATCAGATTTTTTATTACTGATTGAATATCCCTACTATTATAGGTCTGTTCAGATTTTTCTCTTTCTTCATAGTTTAGTTTTTGGAAGGTTTTGCATTTGCAGGAATATGTCAGTTTTATCCAGGTTATTCAGTTTGTTGGCCTACAGTTGTTCATAGAACTTAAAACTATTTTATTTCTGAAAATGAGTTATGTCCATACTTTCATTTCTGGTCTTAGTAATTTGAGTCCTCTCTTCTTTTTTTTTGATTGTTCGACTAGCTATTGTTTTGTTAGTGTTGCTAATTCCACCTCACCCCACTCCCTCCAAAAATACTTTTGGTTTGTTTTTCCTCTTTATTTTCCCACACTTTCATATTCTCCGGGCTTCAATCTTTATCATCTTCCTTCTGCCAGCTTTGGGGTTAGCTTGTTTTTTCCTCTGGTTCCTTGAATTGTAAAGTTAAGTTATTGACTTGAGTTCTTTCTTGTATGTTTAATTTTTTTGGTACTGTGGAATTAACCCAGGGGTACTTAACCATGGAGCCACATCTTCAGCCCTTTTTATTTTGAGACACAGTCCTATTAAGTTGCTTAGGGCCTTACTTAGTTGCTGAGGCTGGTTTTGAACTTGCAATCCTCCTGCCTCCACTTTCCAAGCCACTAGGATCACAGGTGTACACCACTGCTCCTGGCTCTTTTATTTTTAAATGTACATTTTTACAGTTATAAACTCCCACCTTATTCTGCTTTTGCTGTGTCCTGTAAGCTTTGGTATGTTATTCTTGTTTGCATTCAT